GGCAGAAGGAGCACGCCTCTGACTTCCAGGTACGGGCTTTTTCCCATGTCCCCCGCAGCAGCTACCGCTTTATTTTGCTGCCCTGTTTCCTCCCGCTTTAACAGAGCAAACCCTGACCCCCAGCGTAACCTCCCTCCAGCCTCTCCAGAGCCCAACCCCAACTAACACCTCGCTGCATGCCAGTGGCACCGGGGACAAGGTAGGACTCTGCTCCAACTGAGTGTGCCCAGGGTAGGAGGCGGTGGGCATCCCAGCATGTCCCAGCACGGGCTGGCCGTGCCAAGGCTGCTCCAAGCAAACGTTTTCATTGCTCTCCCCCAGCTCAGCCCAACATCCCCAGCTCGGAAGCTCTTTGCTTACTGGGGATGAGCTGGGTGGGAGGAGAACTGCCTGGAGCCCCCCGACAGCAGCGCAGATTGCAGGGTTGTAAGAAGCCTCAGTCCCCAGTGGTACCCAGGCAGAGTAATTCAGAGAGCGAAGGCTCCAGGGCAGATCTGCATCTGATGGGGAGAACCCTTGGAGCAGCGCAGAGCAGCCCATGCCCTGCTGCCCCCCTCCTCTCCTGGGGGTCCAGCTCACGCTGGGGTCCAGGGATGTCAGCGCTGGTCGGGGCCGCGGCAAATCCCCTTTCTGGAGCACACTCGCTTGTTCAGAGTCCTATTTTTCCGCATGCAGTCCCACCAGCCCTGGGTTCCAATGTTCCCCAGTCACTGCATGGCACCGTAACTGGTGTTTGCACATTTTTTCCCTCTTTCTCTCTTTTTTTCCCCCTTTTCCCCAAACAATCCAGGCCACGTGTCTCCTCATTCTGTGTTTCCTTTTGGTTTCCGCATTGTCTCCCGCCATGGTGATGAAGCTCCTTCTCCTCCTCATCCTTTTTGTTGTCTTGTAGTTCTTTACTGTTTCGGAAACCCATTGTTTTGTTTTCTGGCTTTTTTTTCCTTCCCGCTCTTTTGGTTCGTTCTCATTAACTTGCCCACGCATGCAGCAGCCTGATTTTAGGGACGCCGACCTTTACCGTATCCCCCATGCCAAGGACACAGACCCCGCGCATCCCCGGAGCTACAAACCCTGCCGGTCCGAGGAGAATGACTCCTACGCCACCGAGGTACGACACAGGCAGGGAGCGTGTCCCCTCGCCCAGTGGGGTTGGGGACAGTGCTGCAGGGACGGGGCTGTCCCTCTGGAGAGCTGGGGACAAGGGAAGCCACAAAGCCCCAGTGGGGAGGGACGGGGGGGCCATGGCCAGGCACAGCCCCTTGTCCCCATCCCTTCCGTGGGCCGTTGCAGATGAAGGAGCTGCAGCTGGTGCTGTCGGAGGCCAACGAGAGCTTGCGGGGACTGCAGGAGCAGCTCTCGCAGGAGAGGCAGCTGAGGAAGGACGAGGTGGACAACTTCTCGCAGAAGATCTGCCAGGTAAGCAGGCAGCAGCCCCCCCAGCCCTGGGAGATGAATGTCCCACGGCCATGCCACCTCTAGCCATGGGCTGACAAGGACTCGGGTGTCCCCTGGGACTGCACATGGCATGTCCCATCTTCAAAGAGCACAGGGGCTGGGCACGCTCCTCCTTGCAGATGGGCATGCAGACGTGTCTCGGTGGCCCCGCTGTCCCCAGCACACAGCCCCAGTGCTGCAGTTCCCGGGGGGTGTTAAATACGGGGCCAGCACCCGGCTCAGCCCCTGGGGAGGAGGCACCATGCCGCTGCCACCAGCCCCCGGCTCAGAGCCCGCGCATCTCTCTGCAGCTGAAGGAGGATCACCAGAAGGCGCTGCTGCGGCGGGAGTTCGAGCTGCAGAGCCTGAACCTGCAGAGGAGGCTGGAGCAGAAGTTTTGGAGCCAGGAGAAGAACCTGCTGGTGCAGGAGTCGCAGCAGTTCCGGCAGAGCTTCCTCCTGCTCTTCATGAAGCTCAAGTGGTTCCTCAAGCGCTGGCGCCAGGGCAAGATGGTGCACAGCGAGAGCGAGGACTTCTTGGAGGTACCATGGGCTGGGGGGCTCCCACCTATCATAAAATCACAGAACAGTTTGGGTTGGAAGGGACCATGGAGGTCATCTAGTCCGACCCCGCTGCAG